TTCCCTGAGCCTAACCCCATGCATGTGCTCGCACGGGTTGCTGCTGTAGGCTGTCTGGGTGGCGCTGGCTTCATGCAAATCCCACTTAATCTTCAATAATCATATTAATATAAAAGGTAACCATCTCCCTTTGGAAAACAAAGGTGTCTCTCTGGCCTGCCAGGGAAGCAATGGCATATGAAAGACCTTTCTGCCAGTGTTTATCGCTCTAAAATAAGATTTATCCTTCTAAAGCTCTCTCTTTTCTTTCATGCTTCTGAGCTGCTTCATTTTCCTCCCCTGAGCTTTCCTATTCTCTCTTTCTTGCTGCCTAACAAATTAGGCATCTAATCGCCGCTGGGAGGGCGCGATGGGAGCGCGGGGGGTCCCTCTCCAGCATCGTGCTGATGTGTTCATGGTTAGCCTTTAATCTGTTTGGCCTAGCAAAGGTTTGGGATCAGTGTGTGGATTTGTTTGAGCCTGGGTGCGTGCATATGGTGGACGTTGCTTTGGGTTGCCCAAATTCTTCCTGTGCCCCGAACTGGTCAAAGGACAGGAGGAATGAGCAGCATGTCCTTGGCAATCCCCTGCCCTTCATGCAGCTTAGATGGTGTGTGGTTTTGTGGGCTTCCCTACCTTGGTGTCCTGCTGGGCTCCCAGTGCTTCAGGCTTCCTCGTGTCATGGGGACAACTGGAGTCTGGGAGCTTCCCTTCCTCCAACCCAGCTTTCAGAGGGATCATTTTTCCCTAGCAGGGACTGTGGGTTTGTACGGTGAGATGAACCAGCCTGGAGGTGAACCACAATATTTCTCTTGCACTCTGCCAAAACTCGCAGAGACTCTAGCACTGAGCGGCCACCATTCAGCAGGACCCATTGATACAATTCCAGACCCTGTAAGAGGTGATGGCTTTGCTCAGTGACATGAAAATGCCTTTTAATGCACAAGTTTCCATGGTGGCTCTGTAGCCTTTTTTTCTTTTTATGCTTTTGCCTAAATCGGCTTGTCTGTCCTCTAGACTTTTTGAACCTATAGGGCCAATTTCCAACAAATGTGATGGAGGTATGGATCTCAGAGATGCTGAGAACTTGTGTTTTGTGAAAATAGCAGGATAGAATAGATAAGAGGGAAAGTCTATCTTCTTTTCTCTTCATAGGCAAGGTTGAATGAGGCTTTGAGCAACCTGATCTAGTGGAAGGTGTCCCTGCCCATGGCAGCAGGGCAGGAACTAAATGATCTTTAAGGTCCCTTCCAACCCAAATCATTCTGTGATTTTATAAAGTGAGTAAGAAACTTTCACAGAGCCCCTTTAAAAAAATATAAGGTAATAAAAAAAAGAGTGCTGTGTGAGCTCAACCGTTGGTGGACATCAGAGAAGCTGCAGTGGAAGATACTTCTTCTCTCCCTCTCTCTCACAAATGTCTTCCATTTGGATTTGTCACAAATCCACAGGCCACCAGGCTTCCTGTTCCCACTTCTCCTAGTTCCAACCTTCTCGGGGCTTCTGTGGGGTGCCTCCTGTATTACAGGAGCTATTACAGGAATTATCTGGCAGCTGTGGAGAATTCCTTCAAGTGAATGAAAAAAAAAACCCAAGCACACTGGGAAAGGCAGCTCCCCTTTTCTGGAAAGCAGTTAGAGAAATCTCAGAAGGGCTCTGAAGCCAACACGGGAGAGCATTTTAAAGGTGGCATTTGCACCCCTGAGGCTTCCCGGCAGCAGGCAGCATGCTGAGCTGGGAGGGCTGATTCCCAGCTTCAGCACAAAGTGGAAGAAAGCAGCAGGAGCCTTGGCCTGGTTTCGGGGTGTCCCCAGAGGAGCCAAGAGTGTTTGGCAGGTTTTTAATGCATGCATTTCTAATGTGAGGCTCTTAGCACCGTTTAAGCAATGGTAGAATTAAGTGCTGGCTTTTTCGGAGCACTGGGCCCCAGGAGGACAAGGTTGGCAAGGTCAGGGTTGCAGGCCCAAACTGCTGCTGTGCGTGGCTTTTCTGGTTGCCTTTTCACACCGTGCCCTCTAGACCTCATATCCTAGACCTCATAGCCTCATATCCTCATATCCTAGACCTTGTATCCTCCCTCAGTCGTGGCCCACCCAACCCCTGCACCCCTCCCCAGCCCCCAAGTTGTCCTCATTCCCCACACCATCCCTGTTCACGGTTTCAGTCTTTGTATTTTAACCCATCCCCATAGCTGGCCATCCAACTAGCGTCTGTACTCCTTTGCCACCAGGATCTCTGAGCACTGCAGGGACTGCAGGCCCCAGGCTGAGCTGAAATGGGGTCCTGGCCCATGGGAGCCACCAGGGAGGCCCCAGTTTGGGTTGCTAACAGGGCCCTTAAAGCCTGTGCAATATCAGGGAGACAGGAGCTGCTGGGGGAATGGTAAGGGCTTGCATATTTGTTCTATGACAGTGTCTGTGAGGGCCTAAAAGGACCGATGAATCTGACTTAAGGAACATTTCGGCCCTTTCTTTGGCCTGCAGCAGAGGCAAGGTTGCAGAGGTGGGAGGTGGATGGGAAGCAGGACTTCTCTGCATGGTCCCTGTGTTTTTGGCACATAGCAAGGATAAACACCACCTTCATTTCCTTCCACCCCCGAACCCTGCCACCTCTTTCCAGGCTTCTAGAACATTTCTCCTTCCAAGCCCTCTCTGTGGGGATGGGTTTCAGACATTGCTGGGGCTGCTGCAGAGGAATGTGGTCATGGCCTCAGCATTGCTCCCTGTGCACCACGAACAAGCCACAGCAGGCAATAACAACTTCAGTACAGTGTTTAGAACAGCCTGTGCTGCCAGAAGGAGTCAAAGCAAATGGACTGGGACCTTTCTGTATGTCGCTTGATATTGTTTTGGGGGGTTGGTGAGGATAAAGCCAAAGGGTAATGCTCAGAGAAGGATGCTAGCAAGCGAAACCTAGGCTAAATTTTTCACTACTTGCTCAGGGGTTGCCCCTGGCCTCTCCTGGGGTGGACATACTTTGGGTACTGATGTGCCAAAAGATGTGTCTGCTGCTCGTTTATTCTGCAGAGAAGACTGGGCAAGGTGAAGGAACATTAGAGGAAGGCAAAGGGGCAGAGATGGTTGGGGAAAAGGTGGGACGAGGCAGGGGACTGACCCTGAGGAATGCCAGAGCTCTGTGGGTGCCCACCTGTAGAGAGCCAGCTGTGCCTCCCGTCTGATGCATCTGGGGAGGCAGTGTCAGGAAATTATTTCTCATTGGATTATAGGGCTGAGAAACAAAGCAAGGGACTAAAAACCTCTGCCTTCTGCTTCAGTGCTGGCTGATGCAAAGCTGAGCACGAGGCAGCAGCTGGAGGACACCATATGACAATCACAAACGGCCTGAGTTTGGCGGCCTCAGACGACAAGCTGTGGGGAACAGAGACTTTATCTTTTCCATTGGTCTAGCTCTTCTTCCCCTCCCCTTCTCTGTCTTGGCTTTCCTTTTTGGATTATTGAATATTTAAGTGTTTCTCTGTGACACTATCTCTGATCCCTTAATCCAGCTGGCCTGGTAATTCCACAGACCCAAATCAGCTCAGATTTCTCCACAGACATAAGCCTTGTTCCTCAAGGGTTCACTCACTCCTCCTCCATTTATCTTCCTTCATTTTACTTCTGCCCTTTGTGTCTCTGTGCTAGAAATTGGTTCAGCTTTTGCAGCAAAAGCTTCAGCAGTATCTTTAGCGAGCAGCCTCCCCTCCCCCCCCAAAAAAAAGACGCTAGAGGGGATCTTTATTCTTCACAACTAAGAATCCCTTTAAAAATATATATTTTCTATGAAAGTTAAAACAAAAAAGTCCAGTGCCCACATATTTTCTTTGCTGTATGAAATGATTTTCTCCACGCTGCTTGAGGGTGCTTCTGCCAGGCTCCTGTCTCAGGACACTGGGATGAGGGTTGAAGCCATGGCCAGAGGGAAGGGTGCTCCAAGCTGCCCTTCCCGGTCAGGACCAGGAGCTTGCCCAGATCCCAGGGATGCATTAAGGCAAATGTCACTTTGGTGGGGTAGGTGGGCGATGTCCTTAAGCTGGGTACTGCTGGGATTGCTGGGTGGGAGACTGGGGGCTGGTATTTGATACGCTGCCTACGTCCTGCTCCCCTGCTTGCTCCGACCAGGCTGGCTCACCTCAACAGCCTTATCCCTGCACCAAGAGGCAGGAAAAATGTTTAGAGCACAAGTGGTTACACGTGGCTTGAATTATTTATCCCTCTTGCATCAGGGAAGGGAGGAAACAAATTAAAAAGTGCTTTGCTTTGTTTTTAATTTTGTTTGGGAGGGGGTTGGGGAAGAAGGCTTGTTTGCATTTTCATTGCTTCATGCATTCTGTGTACATGGCTTTCAGGCAGCCGAAAATCCTTGGCTTTGGCTGTGTTTGGGGCTTGCCTGTGTTTACACTAGCAGTTCTGAGCTGAGCGCAACAGCAGCCATTTGTTCCCCAGCCTCTCTTCCCTTCCCCTCCTGCCCCCACTCCGCTGCCTTCCCCCGTGCCCCTGGCTGTGATTACATTGCATAACACAGCTCGGGTACGCTTCTGCGTACCCCCAGTATGAGATTATATGTCCTGAGGGTTCCCTTCTCAAAGGCTTATCAGCAAGGCAGCTGGTCCCACTCCTCCTTTTGCCTGCACCCCCTCCCAGTGCTGTCTCTTTTCCATCTCCCTCTTCTCACCAAACCTCATCATCTACACTCTTATCGCAAAGATCCCCCAACTGATGCCTCTTCTTGTCTCCCGTGTGCTTTCTTTTCCAGATTCCAGTGACAGATGGATCTCTCTCATGTGCGCTTGCTCTTTCCCTCTCTGTATTTTTGTTTTCGACATGTTTGATCTGAAGCTCTGAAGCTTCTCCGAGGGAACCCGGGAGAGAAGGAAGAGGAGGAGGAGGAGGAACGGAGGGAGCGTGAGCGACAGAGGAGGCAGCCCTGCCTTATTCTTCCAAATCACACCGTGGAGGGGCAGGGGAAGACTAGAGGGGGGAGGGCTTGGGTTCGTTTTGGGGTGGGTTTGGTGTGGGTGGGGGGTGGGTGGGAGGGAGGACAGTGGAAGAAGTGGGACAGTCGCTCTTGAGCATCAAAGAAGATTCTCTGTCCTCAGTCTGAATTTCTGTTTAGAAAAGAAGCACAAAGTGATCCCTTCCAGACCACTCATCCTTGGTGGCAGCTTTTGGGTGTGCTGGAAGCAAACTGCATGTCTCCTCCCTGCTGCCATGCTCCTGGCTTGACCCAGAGGGCAAGAAGAAATGATGGCGTTGACACCCAATAGGACTGGGGTGCTCATGGACTTCTGTTGCTAAACCCCTATTTACTACCCCCTTTCTCTTTCCTCTGCCCCCAATTTTCCTTTTGCTGTGGTCCTGGAATTTGTATTTTTTGTTGCTTTTTTTTTTTTTCTTTTCTCCTTTTTTTTCCTTTTTCTTTTTTGGCCTGATGAGGGCACCACTGCAGACCATGATGTGCCTGGGGTTGTGGGCAGCTGCCCTGCTCTGCTTGTTTTCCCCCGGCACTGTGCGAGGTGACTGCTGGCTGATCGAGGGGGACAAAGGTTATGTGTGGCTGGCCATCTGCAGCCAGAACCAGCCCCCGTACGAGACCATCCCCCAGCACATCAACAGCACGGTGCATGACTTGCGTCTCAATGAGAATAAGCTCAAAGTGGTGCTGTACTCCTCCCTCAACCGCTTCGGCAACCTGACCGACCTGAACCTGACCAAGAACGAGATCTCCTACATCGAGGATGGGGCTTTCATGGGCCAGACAAACCTCCAGGTCTTGCAGCTGGGCTACAACAAACTCACAAACCTGACAGAGGGCATGTTGAGGGGCATGGCCCGGCTCCAGTTCCTATTCGTGCAGCACAACCTGATAGAGCTGGTCACCCCTACTGCCTTCTCCGAGTGCCCCAGCCTGATTAGCATCGACCTGTCGTCGAACCGTCTCAGCCGCCTGGAAGGCAACACGTTCACCAGCTTGAGCAATCTGATGGTGTGTGAGCTGGCAGGCAACCCCTTCAACTGTGACTGTAGCCTCTACAGCTTTCTTAACTGGCTGGCGCTCTTCAACAACGTCACCAAGAACTACGACCGGCTCCAGTGTGAGACGCCGCGGGAGTTTGCCGGGTACCCGCTCCTGGTACCTCGGCCCCACCACAACCGCAATGCCATCACCATCTTCCAGTCCATGTGCAGAGGCGGCACCATCCCCTCCCTCTCCAGGGTCAACCCCACCCCTTACACCCCCGACTCCCAGCGAGACTTGGATGAGGGCTCAGCCATCAGCCCCGGGGACTTCCTCTCCGTCAAGCCTCCGGCCTCCTCCACCACCGACTCCTCCTTCAGCCCCAGCATCAAGCTCCACGATGTCACCATCACCTCAGCCATCCTGATGGTGACCATCCCCATGCCCTACAGTAAGATGTACGTGCTGGTCCAGTACAACAACAGCTATGTGTCTGACATTGCGACACTGAAGAGCAAGAAGGAGTACGTCACTGTCAACAAGTTGAAGGCCCACACTGATTACACTTTCTGTGTGGCCTCCATCCGCAACAACAGGCGCTACAACCACACTTGCCTGACCTTTGCAACCCGGAGCAAAGGCAGGGAGGACCCCATTTCCAGTACTTCCACCACCACACACTATATCATGACCACCCTGGGTTGCCTCTTCGGGATGGTCATTGTCCTGGGGGTGGTGTACTACTGCCTGCGGAAGCGGAGGATGCAGGAAGAGAAACAGAAGTCCCTCAATGTCAAAAAGACCATCCTGGAAATGCGTTATGGATCAGATATTGATACCAGTACCATGGTCCATCCTTCCCAGAAACTGGGTGAGCCACCAGTGATCCCCGTCTCACGGATGTCCTCCATCCCTTCCATGATTGGGGAGAAGTTGCCCCCACCAAAGTCAATGGAGGCTGGTATGGAGACCCCCAAAGTCACCACTAAAGGCAACTACATTGAGGTGCGGACTGGTGGTGGGGATGGTCTGGAACGGACCCAGCGGGATGAGGACCTGAGGGAGCTTGACAATGGGCAAGGCTCAGCTGCTGAGATCTCTACTATTGCCAAGGAGGTAGACAAGGTCAACCAGATCATCAACAACTGTATTGATGCCCTCAAGCTGGACACGGCCTCTTTCCTGGGTGGTGGGACTGGCGTAGACTCAGACATGGCCTTTGAGTGCCAGTCCATACCTGCCAGTTCCTCGGGTGGGCTAGAGCGGCCCAGCTTTCTTTCCCCACCCTACAAGGAAAGCTCCCACCACCCGTTGCAGCGCCAGCTCAGTGCTGATGCTGCCGTGGCCAGAAAGACCTGCAGCGTCTCCTCCAGCGGCTCCATCAAGAGCGCCAAGGTCTTCAGCCTGGATGTGCCTGACCACCCGCCACTGAGCAAGTCTGACTCCAAATACATCGAGAAGGGCAGCCCGCTCAACAGCCCTTTGGATCGTCTTCCCTTGGTGTCCCCGGGCGCCATCCACCACTTGGAGGTCAAGCCTTCGTACCACTGCAGCGAGCACCGACACTCCTTCCCGGCCCTGTACTACGAGGAAAGTGCTGACACCTTGAGCCAGCGCGTGTCGTTCCTCAAGCCACTCTCCCGCTCCAAGCGAGACTCCACCTATTCCCAGCTCTCCCCCAGACACTACTTCTCGGGTTACTCCTCCAGCCCTGAGTACTCATCGGAGAGCACCCACAAGATCTGGGAGCGATTCCGGCCTTACAAGAAGCACCACAGGGAGGAGGTTTACATGGCGGCTGGGCATGCCCTGCGGAAGAAAGTGCAGTTTGCCAAGGACGAGGATCTGCATGACATCCTGGATTACTGGAAAGGAGTCTCTGCTCAGCAGAAGCTGTGACTCTCCCCTATTCTTTCCAAGGAAACAATACAAAACAAGACCCCCTCCCCCAACAACCAGAAAGAAAAAAAAAAATGCCACTTGACTGTGAAAAATAAACCAACAACAAAATACTCCCGACAAATACAAAACTGACAGAATTGTTTCTTAAAGTTTACAACAACAGAAAAACTCTCACACACACAGACACACACACACACATATGCCGAATTGTCTCTACTGTGTTACGGGGACCATTGTTCTGCCTGCAGATGGTTGGGAGGAGAGTCCTGCTCTGACACTGTGGTAACAGCGCTGGAGTGCGGGTGGGTGGCACTGGGAGGGGGTGGCAGTGGTGGCAGGGGATGGGCAGGGACGGACACTCACCAGGCATGGAACTCAGCTGTGAACTATTGCTCTTTCTGTTCCTCTTGCTGCTTGAGAGATGATTTTTCTTTTCGGTGGGAGGGGAGAACTTTGGTTTAGAGAGCTTCTCTGCCCACTTCATACACCTACTTTTCCAAATTTTCTGTCACATTAGTTTCCCCCTCCCCCCATATCCTTTGGCAGTTGAGGCTTTACTCTCTCTTCTGTCCCCTTCCAAGTTAGGTGGGATTTGTTGGAAGAAGTTCTCTCACTCCCTTTCCTTTTCCTCTTCCCTACCCATCTCCCTAGGCTTGCACTTTTCGTCTAGATATTTCAGGAACCTCCATCATCCTCAGAGGAAGGAGAGTGTGATGGACAGGAGGTAGACTTACCACACAACAGGCTCTGTGCCCTTGCTGCTCTCCCCTCTCCCCTTCTCCCACCATGCTATTGATGTTGAACACCAGCGATCCCGGAGTGACAGGCCTGCTCAGAGCCAGTTATCTGGGGGTATGTCTGTGCTCTTTTGCACATCAAGTGAGGTCCTCAAGGAAAGGTGGAGGAGGAGTCATGAAAGTCCAGTCTTTCAGAGGTGCGAGGGGTTCCTATGTCTCCATGGGTGTCATAGGTCCTACCATTTCCCACCATTTGGGTCCTACCATTTCACACCATGCACACCCATGCTGAGGCTGAGCTGAGGAGCAGGTTTGGTACACTGGTTTGCCTCCCTTATTATGAGAAAGGGATGTGGAGAGGAGCTAAGCAGAACAACTTGCACGCAAAGCTTCTGTAGAGCTTCCTGACTGACTTGCATCATGTTGGGAGAGGGGATAGAGGAGCATCAGACATCCTCCTTGCTTTCCTCAGGAGAGTTGAATGCATAAATAGGATTTCTATTGCTTAGAAAGCACTGGGTTCATAGAAAAGACACCGAGTGGCTTCCACTTGCATAGGCTTTGGATACTTTGGCATGAATAGGAGATAGTGTAGGGTGAAGGCAAAAGCACAGGAAATAAAAGGGATGTGAGAGTGGGCCCTGGAGCAGCCCAGGAGGGTTTGCTCCAAAAGAAGCTGCCTTTGAGTGTGCAGCCATATGGTGTGCTGGGGTAGAGGAGGATACTAGCCTCTGGATAACAGTGTTCCTCTGAATACTTAAGAGGCTCTTAATACTTAAGAGTCAGAACAAACTTACCACCTCCTAAATCCTCCACCTCCTCACAGTTAGCTGTGACAGACTTTTCTTAGGGACTCTTTAACATCTTGTCAAAAAAAAAAACCACACAACACAAGTTTTCCTTGCTAGGTCCCAGCCTCTCTCCCTTGGATAGAAGAGCTGCCACGGTGTTGGGAATGAGCATATTGCCCTCTCCACTTCACCCTGTTTCTGAGCAGCCCAACAAAGCACAATCCTGGCACCCTCTCTCCCAGTTTCCTTGTCAGGCAGGGGTGGCTGCCTGCTTCGTGCATCCATAGTGCACTTTTTATGCAGCATTGTGGTCCTCCTCTCCATGAGCTGCACACCCCAATCGTTCTTGACTATTGTTCACACCTACCAGGATGAGAGTGAGGGCCTGTGTTGTGTTGGCCTTTCCCAAGTGGCTATTTCCTTTCTGAGGTGCTCCTCTGGGGCTCCAATGTGTTTGGGGGCCCTGGGAAAAGGATGGGTGTGAAGTACCTTCTTTGGGAGGTGTTTATGTGCTGCCTGCACATTATCTGTCAGGTCATAGTGTTGCCAGCTCTGACAGCTGGTTTCAGTGCTGGAGGTAACATAGCTTCATCTTCTAAACGTGAGGAGCAGCAGTAGGCAGAGCCTGGTGCGCAAAAATCAGAGTGGTACACCTCAAGGTCTAAGCCTTGTGAAGATCCTTGGCATCCCTTCTTTGTAGGGATGCTGAGAGTAACAATCCTAAACCAGCTCTGGATCCCATTGCCTCAGCCTCCTTCACTGTCAGCCACACTCCCCCACAGCCAGAGCATCATTTTGCCTCGAGTCCAGAGGTATCTGTGGGACTGACTCCACCCTGTAAGAGTCAGTGCAAGGCAGCAGAAGGGGTGTGTGTGTGCAGAATGATGAAGGACATCGCTGCTGCCGGGTGTTCCTCCACGTTGGGACAATGCAGCAAGTCAAGGCAGGCAAATGCTGTGAGAGGAGGTTAGGCACAGCAGAGACCTCTCCAGCTGCCATGTGGAACAGGCCCAGTGGTCTTCCAGAGCGGCAGCTCTTCCAGGAAAGGCTAATGGCTGGGGCACAGAATTGGACAGGAAAAGGAGGATGTCAGGCACAGGGGGATGGCATCCTGTTCCGCTCCCCGCCTCTTCCCTCCCTGTGCTTCTCCTCTGCTTTATGGTCCTGTAATGAGTTCTGCTCATATAGGTTTTTTTGGGGAGCCTTAACCTGTAATGGTTTCTGCTCCCTCTGCTCATCACCCCAGCAAGGCAGAATGGTCAGGAATACAAGTATCATCAAGCCCTTCTTTTGCCTGTGGTGGGGGTAAGGCTGGGTGTGGGGGATAAGCCATTTCTCTCCCCAGTATAGCCCCCCACTCCAAACCAGTGGGTGAAGTTTGCACAAGATGGACTGTTCTGTGGGAGGAAGAGGGCAAGGAAGGGGAACAAAGTGTCCCACCTTCCTTCCTCCTCCCTTCTTCCTTGTCCTGCTCCTTCCCCAGGGATGAGGGCTCACGAAGTGACGCCAGCCCTGTTGGAGGAAAGCAGATTTAGCGTTATATTTGCATGATGATTTTACTGTATTTTTCTGAGCAAACACCTGTTGTGTATGTGCCAGTTTGTTGGAATTTAACCTCCCCCCCCACAATGTCTCACCCATCCTTGTCCCTGTTTTCCGTGCTCCTTTCCTTCATCCCCGATGTGATTTTATGAGAGACTCCTACCAGTTTGGGAGGGAACACAACCCCAAGAGATCCCAACCCAATCAGCCTCAGAAAAAACTCTCCCTCCTCTTTTCAGTGCCCCTTCCCCTTGCCCTAAATGTGGTCTCTTAGCTGCTTTTCAGGATTGCGTGTATGAAGGGGGATGTGTTATATACCAAAGGCCTGTTCTTTCTAGTGGTCATCATTTCTCCTAATTATTTAGAAAAAGGAGTGAGGTCCATCGAGACAGATCTCATAAGAGAAACGGTCACTACCATCCATCTGCCCTGGTTTCACCTTCCCCAGATCTACAAGCAAGGCCATTCTTGGGGGAGCAAGGACTACCTCACCTGAAGAGAAACCTCTGTCACAGAAAAAGCTTGATTTGGAGCCTGTTGCGGTCGCTGGAAGACCTCTCACCACCTTCCTCTTACTGATTGCAGGAGGCTTTGGGTTAGGTCTGTCCTACTCCTCCTCTCCTGTGGGTGGCCCTGGCAGAGGGCAGGGCCCGATGACAACTCTAAGACCACCATGGTGGAAAAAGGCCCAAAGAAAAACCTGAAGTTTCTAAGCCCTCTATGGCAGGCTCACCCCTGGGCAAAGTGAATCCATGGGGCAGAACCAGGACCAGCCCCCTTCACACTTTATTTCTGGGTTGGTGACTCCCGACAGGGAAAATCAAGGGTTTAGTTTGCCTCACTGAGAAGAGCAGAGGGTGAGGAACGAGGAAGGGTGATGACCTGCCCTTTCTCCCAAGAACAGGCCCAGGGGAGTTGGGCTGGATTCCCATACCCAGAAAGGTGAACGTGAGACCCTAGGTGTGCTGTTCCCGTGGTGCAGAGCCCTTCCCCACCCCTGCGGGTGCTGCCCCAGCTCCTGCTCCAGTGCCACGTTCCCCTCGCCCGCTCCCCACTCTTCCGTGCTGAATAAATCCCTCCCGAGGCAGGTGTGAAATATTCATGACTGACAAATGAAGATTTATGTCAGGCTGAGGAGGCCTCTGTGTGTTTGCAATGCTAATCAGCCTGCCTTCCTGGAGGAGGCTCTGCCAGGAAGGCTTGGGGGAAGGAGGGGGAGATGCAGGAGGGAAAAAAGGAGACAAGGAAGAGAAAGAAGGGGCAGAGACAGCAGGGATGAGCAGGGTCTGCTGTACTGAAAGGACCAAGGGATGGGGAGGGTGCTAGGAGGAAACAGGGAGAGGGAGGGAGCAGAGAAGAGGGATAGGATGGAAGGAACAGGGGAAGAGATGGACGCAGAGGAAAGAATAGGATAGAAAGGACCAGTGAGAGAAAGAACTGAATGCACAGGGGGAGAGGAGGTGGGGAGTAAGTCAGTGCCTGAAGAGAAAAGCTGGACAGACTTCATGATGAGCTGTGGCCGCTCTCTGTAGGGCAGAGCTCAACGCAACAGGTCGGGCAGCTGCCACACGGGCAGGAGCTGGAGCTGCGGCCCCGAAAGCACATTTGCCATGCTTGTTGCTGACCAGAGAGCTCGGCTGCGTCTGGAAGCACACAAGGCCTCTGGGAACCTGGAGAACGCTCTTCTTCCACCGCCACCACCTCCTTCAGCACAAGCTGCGCTCATGGAGCCACGTCCTCTTGCGGGAGCCAGCCTGCTGCTGATGTCCCACCCCCCGAGCAGGAGGGAGCATCTTCGGGGTGACTCGGTGTGGGAAGGACACTGAGCGCCACCCTCCACCGGGCTACGAGGGTCTCTCGTAGGGCTGGAGGAGCCTACCCCACCTCAGCTGCCCCCTCCCTACCCTGGCTGAGGCAGGTGTTTTGGGGTCTTTCCCCAACCAAGGGGCAGAGGGGGGTGTCTGTTGCCTCCCCCATACACACACACGCACCCTGTCCCTCCAGCCACTTTGCTCTTGCGCTGTGAGGGGCTGTCTTGATCTGCCTCCCCGTTTCTTCCCTGCTGTGGGAAGCTCTCCCTATACCTCTCCCCATGCAGCCCTGCCATGGCAGCTCTAACCCACCCCCCTTCAATCCTTCTCCTCTCTCCCCCTCTCACGGGTCCCCCTCTGTCCGCCCCATCCTCGCGCGTTTGGCTTGGCCTTCGCCTCCCCGTCACCACCACCGCCACTGTGAGGCCTTGCTCTTCGGTGGCCTGCTCCCACCGCCTGCTCTCCCCCTCTCCCTGGGGGGAAGAAGGCAGCCGGATGGGTCAGGCGAGGTCCACCAGGGGCTGGTACCGCTGGTCCATCCACAAGCACAGCACCTGGGGCGAGGGGGTGGGAAGGGGTGGGCAGCTGCGGGGGCAAAGAGCCAAGGGGGGGCTCCCCTTGAATGTAAAGAAGGGCCTCGGAGGCAGCTGCTGGGACTGGCTCCTTGTGGCCTCTTTGGTGTTCCTCTTTCCGCAACAACCCTGTGACCCCCCCCGGTTGTGTATGGACACATTTGAGTTGGAGTTATGTTCTTTTCTCTGTTCTTTTATTTTTGTTTTTCTTTCCTTCTTTTGGATTTCTCTTTCTTTCTCTTCCTTTTCTTTCTCTCTCTCTCTTTTCTTTTTCTTCTTTCTTTTCCTGTTTTAAAACTGAATGGCACGAAATCGTTTTTCCTCAACTCGGAGATTCCTGTATGGAGAAAATCAATTTCTATATTTGCAATAAATTTCTTATTTAAAAAAAAGCGACAAAAAATCCAAAAAAACAACAAACAAAAAATATGAAAAGCTGCTTCTGAGTCCGTTTTTCCCAGCCTTGTCTTGCACAGGAGGTGGGATGGGATGGAGGGAACGGGATAAGGGGGAAACTGAGAAAGCTGGGTGAGGGTGTGGGGGAAGGATTCTGGATATCTGCGTCCCACTAAAACACTTTTCTCTGCACTTGGAGGTTATCTCATTGTGGAGCACTGTGTGGATGCATCCTCGTTTTTGCTGAGTCCTCAGTTCTGCCATGATACTGGTCCTCTACTGCTCAGCACCCAGCTCACATCCTGTCCAAGGCATGCATACAGCACTGCCTGGGTGTAGGACAGAGCTTCCTCACCTACCAACTACACCACAAATCCTCAGCTGGTGGTAAGAGGCATCCTCTGCCAAGCTCCAGAGCTGTCCAGAGAAACACACTCCAAGCCAGGTGATTTGGCCATGGGTAGTGACTAAGCAATCTGTAACCTAATCCACCAGCAGATATCCTGATCTCAGCTCTTCCTAAGCATCAATATTTCAAGGCAAGGATACAGCTAGCAAATCTGTGTGTATTGGTGCATTTATACACATAATTAGGCCAATTTGTTCATGGTGACATAGCAGCTATTCTCTTAAATGTCTTCTCTCTTCTCCAGCTCCTGATTTTTTCTCATTTCCAGTCTCTCCAAGAGTGTTAGTGCTGCTTGGCTCAGAGATTTATGTCTTTTGACCGTGCATGTCCAGTTTTGATCAAACACGTCTAACCGTGGCTTCTGAGCTTCCTTCTTGGA